ATATTGGTTTGTGTTCTGAGAACATTCACTTTCAGCTGTTACTCTTCACAAACAATATGCCAGGATGCCTCTGTCTGCAGACAAACACCCACCTGCTCTGACTCAGCAAGTCACAATTCTTAACCAGAATTAAATACTGGAGTCAAGCTCCCTGCTGAAATAACTGCTAGCTTCCATGCAGTTATACCAATGAAGAAATACAATTCCTACACTAAACGCATGTAATTTTAATCAACATCAACCTTGTTCAGCTTCTGAAACTTCAGGGGTCTGTTGTGCCATTCTTTGATGTCACAGAACTAAAAACCTAGGTACAATGCAGATTTCTCTATTATTTGGGAGCCGAAGACATTTCATAAACTGCAACTCTTCAAACCACTCTACACTGCTACCACAAGTAGTCCTCAGGTACAACCTATCCTGCAAACACTAGGGAGAGAGAAGTGTACCAGTAACAAGCCAGAGGATAAAAAGGGGAAAAGCTCAATTAACATTTCTGAACATGTTGTTTCCTTCCAAAGTGTTTTTAAAAAAATAAAAAACAACAAAAACAAACAGTGCAAGTTTTGTCTGTCTGATACAAAATGGATGAGAAACCATTAAAAGGCTTCCATCTCCACAAAGGCTTGGTTTCTACACCTAACCAAAACAGTGTAGCTACCACCCTAAACACTTGCATTAACACTTACAAAACTAAATGCAAGCCACTTACACACACTGCTGTCAGAAGAGTAAAAAAGCTGTTTTTCACTAACAGGAGGCAGGTTCAAGGGGTATTGTGCTATTTCAATATATCATGGTTACTATATCATTTAACACTGATGGACATCACGGAAGGAGAGAATACAAGGTATTCATTCTTACAGAAGTTACGGTATCATTCTTCATGGCAGAATTGTACTGAAGAACAGATCGAAGCGGTTCTTTGCTGGGAAATGTGAGTAATGGAGACTTCGTGGCAATTTCACACACACCTTCATACCACTCCGCTGGCCAGAGACCTCCAGCACAAGTATGAAGAGGAAGGTGGGGTGGGGGAGAAAAAACAACATTGTTTCACAAAGTTAACTAGCATTATCAAGCTTTGTACTACTTCCTAGGGCCAATTTTTCCTGTACTTAAGCACAAACACTCAACACAAGTGATCCACGTTCCAAACATAGTAAACATGTTTTGGTAATTGCAAGTGAAGTCTCTCACTGGGTAAGAAGTTTCTGCTTGACTACCATTGTACCCCATGTGTCTGATCTTCCATTTCAGGAAGTTAGCTATCCAAACTTGTACTTAACTAAGGCTAACTGCTGTATTAGCTTCAAAAAAAAACCCACCCCAAAACACAAGAACAAATTGTACTGTGCCAAATCTCAGCAAAACAGAGCAAAGATGAGAAGAAATCCCACCAGAGAACTGCCATGTAAGCGGTTTGCTCTGTAGTGTCTTTATGCCTGTAACTTTTCCTCAGCCTGCTGTGAGTGGTTTACATACAGTTACACTTACATTCATCAAGAGTTTAGATGTGAGCAGCAATGTTGTTAGAATTTACACTACCTGATCCTTCCACAGCAAATCCCATCAGCACTGAATACAACCAGAAGTCACGGAACAGCTTTTGCAACCTGGGTTTGGCCTCCTTGATGGGTGGCAAGCGTCTAGTGAGCTACCAAAGAAATAAAAAACTAACATCAGAAAATGGTGGCAGTTACAATAACTTAATTCCACACTAAGGAATCAATTCACGTACCTTCTTTACCACGATTTACAAAGGTAATATTGTTTGCCATCTATGAAAATGAGTATTACATTGCTATTGTTATACTGAAGAAAATTAGATCTTGTTCAAAGCTGTTAAATGCTAACATTTGAGATGCCTGAAGTAACAATTTCCTTTGTTTTACACAGGAATAATACCATGCTGATAAAGTAACTTAGATCTTTTTCAAAGCTGTTAAATGCTAACAATTTGAGATGCCTGAAGTAACAATTTCCTTTGTTTTACACAGGAATAATACCATGCTGATAAAGTAACCTCTGAAGAGAATTCACAAAATTAGTATACTATCGACTGCAGAGAGGAAGAGACCACACGCTCCTTTAAACTGTGTTGAAGACAATGCCATGCAGCTTTCCTTCAGTGCAAAGGAACTCAAAGCCAAATAAATATTAGTCAAACATACTTCTGGTTGCTATTGTTTATTGGCTTTGTGAAAATACATTGAGGCACCAATTGGGGATCTTTCATTGTCTGCACCCACGCACACAATGACATCAGTTCTGGAGAATTTACTGTCTAAACAAGCAAGTAAAAGAGCATTATTTTCAACACATTTATTAAAATTCTCTGATACTTTTTGCACAAAGAGCTGCTGCCACTGAAGGAGCACAGTTTATACTCCCAGCCAACATGATATGCAATTTTATATAAATGTATATAACAAAGCTCATAGCGTGTTATTCTAAAAAATGTCAGAAGCATAGGCAGTGTTTAAAAAGTGAAAAAAATAGCCCATTAAACCACAAGCTTTATTCAATATGACTGTATATTATTACTGCAAACTTTATTAAGAAAATGTTAAATTCTAATCTAACTTAAAGAGATTTTCTCTAACTGTACAATAATTCCCTTGAGGTACAAAAGCCAGCAGTATTTCAGCCAAACCTTACATAAAGCCAACTTCTGATATTTTTGTAAATTATGAAGCAGATCGTTCATTTAAAAAAATAATTTTAAAATCCCTCTATTACAGTAAAATTAATCTGAGTTTAAGCTGGAGAATGGCACTAGGATAAAAAGTTGCAAATGTCTGCACCAGTATCACACAGACTGCAGAAGCCTGACCATCACAACCACAGTGGCTCAACCACATTTGCAGTAAATCCCCCCATTTCAGCTCAAAACCGCAGCGACAGGGCTTTTACTAGTCATTAACAGCCAAGTTTATGTGCATGCTTGACTTTGAAACTTTACATACACACCAATTTTTTCTGAAATCTTCCTCAAAAGTGAACAAGTACCTGCAAAGCCATAAAAGCAGTTCAGCAAACAACATTCAATTCAGCAGAGAGCACTAAGCAAGGGAGGGATTTTGGCTGACAAAGTAAGTTTAGCAGTGTTTGGTTTAGAGAATGTTTACTTTGGGAGATATACAAAAAAATAGCGTCAAAGTTCAGATTTAAACCCTGCCATTCCCCTTACTCGGGCTGCTCAACACATCCCTTCCGTACGGTGGCTTAAAGGTAAGCTTCATTTACATCTTCTGTTATTTTAGGCAGATCTGACTAAAGACATATTTATTGCAGAGCGGGGGAATGTTTTGCCTGTGGAAGTGCAGCTAAGCAGTAACTGAGCTTCAGGGAAGATGAGAATGTAAAGTTGGGAACTACAGGCAGCAAATACTTGTATGCCAAAAGCAGAAAACATTTATCAATGGTTACTGGACAGAGTATCTCAGCCCTAAGGGACTTCTGGGGGCAGGGGGAAAAAAATGATGAATTTATGAAGAAACAACCAAAACAAAAAAGACTGAGCTGAGTCCTTCAGTCACAGTGTAAAACCATTTTAAAAGCACTTTCTGTGGATCCTTCACTGTTGCAAAACAATTAATTTTCTATATGGGATACAAAAAACCTTCATGGTTTTAGAATTTCAGGCAAATTAGTTTAGGGGGAGAGTTTTGAAAATTAAACTCTCAGTTACTTCAGTCCTGCTACAACATGTTTGAAAGTATTTTCCTTCAAGCACTGGTTTTATTGACAGATGTGCAGACAGGTATTTATACTTAAATATTTTCCTTCTACAGAACAGCTCATTGGACCATTTGCTAATTTAAAAATATTTAATCAACATCTTAGTAAAATGTTTATTTTAACCGTATTCAGTGTTTTGTTCTAGACTGTATTGTAAATATTTGCCTCTTTACTCCAAAAAGTACTATCAAAAGAAATTCACTTTTACAAATTTATCAAGTAACTTTCTAAAGAAGTCTGAGCAAAAACCAGGACACCAGCATTCAGACACCCATTCACCGTTTCAGCTGACACAGAGTTATTGAGCACTTACATTTTGGTCTTCCTTTGACTGTCACAGGAAGGAATGACACTATTTCATATCTATTTAAGAACACGGTAATTACTGCAACCCAATATTACGGTAAAAAGTCTCTCAGACCCACTTCTTGGTAGAGTGTTTCATAGGCGAGTAAGGCTGATGGGTTCTCTTCAAACAATACACACATAAGACAGTTCTTGATTTTAAAATCGTTTAAAAAATGCAATGCTCCCATGCTCAGTAGATGAAGAAGAGATTACCTTTCCCTTTAGACAAATACAGGTTTTACTTAAATACATTCTCAAACAAAAGAAGTGAGTTAGAAATCTAGCATTGGGATAAAACTAAGAATAGAGAAACGATGTTCTGAATAAGAATTTACAGAGTTACTTTCATTCCATCAAATTTCAGCCTTGTTGTTACAAAAATACTCCCATAAAAATCCCATTTTTTGTTGTAGCTACAGGATGTGTTTTTCAAATTCTTCAGCACATTTCAGCCTTCTGGCATGCTCCTTTAGTGGATGCCTAGCCCCTCCTCCTCCTAAGCTCAAATCTTCAAACTTATCTTTCCATCATATTTTTAGCATACACTAGTAACACAGTTAGTACACATTTTAAGTGGTACAGGTTTATAAATAAAGAGTCCCACATATTTTAGGTAGTGAGCTTGTTACTGCTGAAGCATGCCAATAATGACGACTTCGATGGGAGGAGGTCGACTGATTCTTTGGCAGGTTGGAGGCATTATGTAAGCAAAACCAACTACCAGATTTATCCAGCTAATTAAGCTCTGTTCCACTAAAAAAAAAGAAAAAATGCTGTTGTAAGGTAACTATAGACCTGCCAGGACAGAATTCAGCGTCACCCTAAAATTAGGGAATAGATAACCAAAATTCAATTGCCCCATGCTCTCTCAACTGTGTTATGTTGTCTTCCAGGCTTTGACCTGTCAGAATGAAGTTCCTATTTCATTTGCTTGCCCTGGCTCTCCTCATAACCTCCACATTTTGTGGAGTCAAGGACTTCACTGAGCATTTTGAAAGCCTTAAAGATGCACAGTCACATGAAAATGGGACCTATGATATGCCAAACTTCCCACCAGAGTTCCACAGAGAAAACACCATCACTAACGACTTGATTCCTGAAGAGGAGGAGGAAGAGGACTATCTAGATCTTGACAAGATACTGGGTGAAGACGACTATGGTGACATTATTGATGCTGGCCCCTACATGATTTCTGAAATTCAGCAAGGAAATATTCTTGAACTATTCCAGGGGAAAACCAGAATCCAGCGCCTCAATATCCTCAATGCAAACTTTGGCTTCGACCTTTACCGCAGTGTGGCAGACAAAGCCAACTCTTCAGATAACATCCTCATGGCTCCTGTTGGCATTTCCACTGCAATGGCCATGCTTTCTCTGGGCCTGAAGGGCCAAACTCAGCAGGAAATCTGTTCTTGGCTTTCAAGACTTCATTAATGCCAGCACCAAATACGAGCTCATGACTGTTCATAATCTCTTCCGCAAACTCACTCATCGGCTCTTCAGGCGCAATTTTGGTTACACGCTGAGGTCTGTCAATGATCTTTATATTCAGACGGACTTTTCTATTCTGAATGACTTCAGAAACAATATGAAAACATACTACTTTGCTGATGCCCAACCAGCTGATTTTTCAGATCCTAGCTTCATAACTAAAACCAATGAACGCATCTTGAAGCTGACCAAGGGATTAATAAAGGAAGCTCTTGTCAATGTAAACCCTGCAACACTGATGATGATTCTTAACTGTCTTTACTTTAAAGGTAAGAATATCTGTTATTTCAACCTTAGCAATGGATTTTCTCAGTTTGCAATCCACTGCACACTTATTAGAAATCCCAGACTGAACTTCAATCTAGTCTACAGTTCAAAAAAGCCTAGACTCCCTCATCAAAAAAATCTATTATTAGTCCATTTTCATGTTTCTGTAGCACACTGATGTTAGTGGGTATTGTTCAAATACAGCAAATGCTTATTACATCCAAAACCTTATAGTTAAAAGTGAGACTAAAAAACAACATGTGAATGCAGAATAGCCTCAGAAAGCAGAAGCTTTGTAGGAGTCTCAGATGGTGAGGTACTAATTCGCGTGCAAATTATCAGTCACATTCAGTCCTGCTTCAAGTTATTGGCTTCATTGAAATGGTACAGGTTGATTTCAGTGAAAACACTTCACATTTCTGAAGTATTCAGGATTCATAGGAAAGACTGTAAAGAATTTCAGCTTAAAGTATGTATTTTTTTATATGTACAGAGCACGATCCTTGTCAACAAGCCTATACAGGGGACTGAAGAGAATAACCAAAACGTTATTCTTCTACAACTAATTCCACTACTTGGAATATTCCAGTTCATTCAGCATGAACTGTCTCCTGACATGGGCTCCCACATGTATCACTATAGGCTGAACAGTTAAAGACGCTTGAAGTAAAGACTGTACAATATATTCTTATTACAAATCCTTATTTTCAATTTACTTACATTTAAACTAAGTCTGTGGTGAGATTTTTAACATAAGTTACCTGTCCCAGGTTGAAAGTTTAAAAACTTTTAAAATGGCATTCAACGAGCAAGAGGTGGGAGGTGCCAATGAAAGAGTAACTAAGGAAAAAAAGGAAATCTATTACTGACTGTTTAACATCAGGTTAAGGTGACTTAAAACACTGGTAAGGAAAGACAGATTAGCACAAAAGGATAACAATGTCTGGCAGTACAACATGCTCTTTTTCAAAACTTAAAGAAGTTTCTTTTTTCCAATTACATCCCTGCTTCCAGGAAACAAATGCTCTAGGGCTCTCTTACACCTGCCTTCTCAGCATTTAATTAGAGGAACTTACAGGAACACCATTCCTATAAGTTTATGAAACATACCTTTTCCCACTCACTTGCAAGGTGCTACTTCCTTGAATAATGCCACTCGTCTCTTTAAAAGATCTGAAGCAGTCATCAGCATCAAATCCAAATAATCCCCTATTCTGAAGTACCATCCAAAAGGGACTTATTTGTATCCTGCTGTACATCTCTGATGATCATATAATATTAAATACATGACTGTACTGTCCATTACACCATCCTAAGAAAAGCATGATGCAAAGTGAAACAGATACATAATTTTTTCACAATTTAGTCAAATTTAAAATACTTTTTTGTTTTACTCTGAAATTATTAAATACTTTTGCTATCTCAAAATAACAAAAAAAA